TGTTTGAAATACCAGAGCACCCTAACAGTTTGCTTAGATCTTAACACTTGAGTAGGTTTGACATCTGGTTTATGTATTATGCTCCTGCATTTACTCCTGTTTCATCCTGACCTTTGGTCTTAGTATGGTCAACCCTGCATGGTCTCTTGTTTGCCCATTTTGTCTTTTTATATCACTGGATTAGTAGTACAATAATCTTTAGTACTATATAGTCAAATAAATATTTGTACTTGCAATCCAGAGTTATTTTTAGACTCCTGGCTGCCTATGGGTTACACCTCACAGGGAGGATTCCTCAGACATTTTCTCTTTGGATTCCATCCTGCTAGCCTAGTCTGAGTACCACAGGCAGCAGGGGTTGCCCTTACACAGGGCTTCCAAGAGCAAGTGCTGCTTGTGGAGAACCTGCAGGTTCCAGGAATACATTGGTGTAAGGTTTACTAGGGTAAATAGGTAGAATACTAGATGGGTGCTATACCTAATATGGAACAAGGAACCCTTTCACCAGCAGAACACTGATCAAGCCTCTGGAAGCTCCCCAGGCATCATGCTGCTAGAGAATAATTCTGGAATTAGTCACCTGCTCCTCAGAGGTATTAACAGGAGCAGTTGATGGCTGTGATGACAGGGAAAGTGATGGGAAGGCATAATAATGCCCAGCATGCAAAGCAGAATTTTTATTGATTTTCGAACTCCACACTATGTGCTAGGAACAGCTAAGTATGTTCCAAGGTATTCTATAATATTCTAGGGATGTCAGGTTGATTACCAACACAGGCTAGAGCAGACACAATAAGATAGTTCTTATAGACCCACTCGGCGTTAAAAAAAATACGGTTCAGTAAATAGCTGGGCTTGGCCTACTATACAAGCTAGATAATGTACAGATATCCGAATTTCCTGATGCACTGACAAAATTCCGGCAGGCATTTTTGGAAAGGGGAAAGAATCTGATCGATGTCAACTAGCAATGTTTCAGAATGTCCACAGAGCATAACTACAGGTACGTGATGCAAAATACAGAGGTTTATTCAAAGTTCTATCAAGCGGCCGGTTCACTTTATCCATCATAGACGGAGGTATATAATCCAGTTTCTTTCGCTTTGATCTCTACAAACCGAGTTGAGTATTCATTTAATTATAAAAGACCATGATATAGCCTCGATAACTCACGCAGCGCAATATGGGTGGAATTGAAACGGCAAATCGCCAAGTTACCTGTGACAAACGCATGTGCATCAGGGCTCCCGTCATTTTAATAAAAACAGACAAGCGTACCCATCATGAAATACAAGTTCGGCACACCACAATTACGGAACAAGCCATTGAGTTCGCCTTCCTCGTTCAAACCCCAGATTGGACCAATCTTGGACACGAGTTTCTCCTCTAGGAGATGTGCGGCGGCCACACGGGCATCACCCAATCTAAAGCGAGAAGCGGTATTAATGCATGTCAACAAACGAAGCGGTGTATTGTAATGCAAATAAATAAAAGTTACCCAGTAGCGAAAACGACAACATCTGCCTTAAGGGTCGAACCGTCTTCGAAGACAAGACTATCCGTCGTGAAAGTCTTAATACTTCCGTTCTTGATCTTAATCTTGCCGTCGATGATGAGTTGGCTAGCTCCGACATCTGGGATATAACAAATCAGTTTTAACCTCAGATACGTTGAAAGGGGGGAGGTTGGGGTCAGACCAAGGTAATATCCCCCAGCACGTTCCCATGCCATGATAAAAAATCCCGAGTCGTCGGGACCGTAGTTAGTTTTGAATCCAACTTTATTCAATTCTTCGATTGTTGCCCTACAATAAATGAATAAGATTTTTGAGTGAAATGTCGTTGAAAGGATCACTGGACCTATCCATTTCCTTTACACGAGACGCCATAGCTATCGTGTGCATGGCCTTCATCACGTAGTTGGGGAAGGAAGCATTGATACGGTCGGCGATGTCAACTGGTGGGCCGGTCTCACTGTAGAGTCCTATTTGGTTTATCATGAATTATTGAACGACTGAATTTGTGAAAAGAAAAAAAATTGACCCTCGAGTAAGGCAGCTACAGCTTGCACTGAAATCACGCAGGTGGAAGAGCGTTGAACCTGCGTTATGAGTAACAATTCAATCGTGCCGAAAGAATACAAGATACTGAAGCTGTACCATCGTGACATCGACGCCATTGCGCTGAAAGTCTTGAGAGATATCATGCGCTATTGATGTAGGACATTGACATATAATAATTAGAGGAGTGAAGCTTTCCAACCTGCTGTACAAGCTCCTACAACGACAACCTTTTTGCCTAAATGGTCCGCGGCTTCTTTGTGAAATAGAGAATGGGTGATCTTGCCCTCAAATTTATCCTGAATAGGGAGCACCATGACGATTATTATTGAGTTTCAACTTGAAGGATATATTATCCTTACCATTCCGGGGATCTGAGGCATGTTGGGCTGATTACCAGCAACACCAAAGGCGAATACGACATATTTTGGTCTCATTACTCGCTTAGAGCCATCTGACTTGATCAAGGTGACGATCCATTCGTCTTTATCATCATCACGTTCCACCTTCTGAGCTTCAGTAGAGGTCCAGACATTTAGTTCCATAGTGTGAGCATATGATTCTAACCAGTCTGCGAGCTTCGAGATGATAAGCCTTCCCATATTAAGAAGGATCCAACATTCTCACCTTTACGGCTGGTGTGAAAACCGGCCAGGTGAGGGGGAAGCTATGGAAATGGTCAGACAGTTCAACGAGAGATAGTACCATTTACGGACTTAAGGTAGGGCATATGATCATACCCTAGGATATTTTATAGCGTGAGTCAAATAGTATTATTTATTTTAACATCTAATTAAATACGTACAGACAGGGTCGTGTAGGCAAAGCGCCTTGTAACGGGTTCTCCAATTATCACCTATGTGGGGATGCCTCTCGACAACCAGCGAGTCAACGCCTTGATATTTAAGTCGGACAGCCACATCCAGCCCGCTCTGGCCACCGCCAATGATCACAACTTTTGGATCGCTATCTTTAAAGGCGATCTCCCTCGAACGCTGTTCGACCCATTGACCATGGTTCGATTCACCACTACGATTTGGACCAACTTTGTAAGGTGAACCTTTCAAAACTTCGAGATTCGTGTAGATGGTATGTGCCTTCCATGGCCCATTGGCAGTAGGTACAATACGAAAGATACCAGAGCATGTCCCGGTAGACGTCTCGAAGTCAAAGAAACTTTGGATCCAGAAGATACCATCGGCGTCAAAAATGCTCGGTTGTTTATCTCTATCATCGGATAGACGGACGTTTGTTATCTTTGCCACAGCGAGGCGTGCCTCTAGTAGGTTCCGAATAGAGGGGGTCCCACGGATTGTCCTGAAATCCCAAGTGAGTGCGAGCATGTCCCTCCAGAAGCCATCATCCAGAATGAGCCTTGTAACAGCGTCCGATTTACCAGATGCAACTGCCTGTGAGAATTCGTTCAACCAGATAGCTGCCACTTGGTAAGGGTTGACATTCTCTGGTTTCTCAACACGAAGTTTTTTGAGAGTAGGGAGGGAAACTTGGTCTTCCAAGGATACAGTCATGGGGTTAAGGGAATAAGGACGTTGCTGTCATCTGTTTCTATTAATATAATCATAAAATGGCTCGATCCGAGGCATCAGATGATAGTATAAGGGAGACTCCGATTACAGAGGAAGGTGACCTGCCAGACGAGATACTTCACCGCATCCAGTTACGCTGGAATACGTACTGTAAGTGTGCATGTTCGCGGAAACAATTAATTAATTAAACATTAATCCCTGCGAGGATTTCAACAACTTGAATATATTTACTTGTCGTATATTGACGTAGTTTTTAACTCCGGCTAGTTCTATATTAATTTTCCCTTGGACCGGAAGGCACTCAATCGCAGATGTCGGTTTTGCATTTTCAGATAGACCTCTTTCGCACGGCAGCATCGGCAAAACAACCTGGCCATTGGGCGGTGGGAACACCGACACCCAATGACCATTGGCGAATATCCGTGGTCCGAGTCGATAGGGTCACACACCAGTTTAAGTGAATACCAGTGTTAGTCACTGGATGTTACCGTAGATAGTCATCATATAGTTATGTAGTTATATACAGTACATCATAACATAGGTTTACATCTTTAGTTAACCGACATTAAACGTAGTAACCTCCTCGTAATGTACCAACCAAAGCACGAAGTTACAAGGCATGAGGCTGACATATATTCTTATGAGCGTACGGACTTTTACTAAATACTACTTCTAGGCCACGCCACCTACTCGTGTGCAGTATGAAAGCTATATCTTCATTCAATCAACACGTTTTGAAGCTTTAGGCATTATGCTGATCAGCGTCCCCCACGAGCGGGACTTTAGCAGGCGCTCAGTCACAGGGGACACTTATTAATACTTGCGGATTAGAAGCGTTGAGAAAACGTTTTCACTGCTTATCAATAGTATGCAGCAGCCACGAGTATGTCCTTCAAATCATTTGGCCCAACCTTGCGGGCCATCGGCAAGACTTGGTAAATTTTGCCGCCTGATAATTCCTAAAGAAAAGGTATAATAACTCTGAGGTTTTTTTACGCACATCTACAAACATTCAGATCAGAATAGCGATATACTCTTTGAACCCTTGCAAGTGAATAGGGCAGTATTAAGCAAAAGCGGCAGTGAGTCCTGAATATTGAATACTGATCAGTCTCCTCAATGATGAATGCTCGGTGCATTCCATCGCGTTAAACAGGTCAGAGGAGAGTATTTAATTTTGTGTTTTATGCAGACCTTCAGATTCCCAGGTTTCCACCGTTTGACCGGAGAAGTACCAATCAATTAATTAGTAGGCAACAAGCGGAGTATAGATTCTGATAACTGAGGACGAAGAATTCGACAAAAGTAAGGGAAAACTGTAGGTTTCTGCTGTAAAACTCTTTATTGTGCCAATATCTCCAAAAAAGATGCAAAGTAAAGAATGCAAAACAATATGCTCCTTGCAAGGCTCGAACTTGCGACCTTTGGATTACCCGCTCAGAAGCGGTCAAAGTTTATAACTATGAGACCAACGCTCTACCAACTGAGCCAAAGAAGCATGCATTTGGCAGTCAACCTAAATGGATCATAGACACATGGAATATTCAATTGAACTCCTATAACACTTAATTATGACCTTTGTACTGAAAACACGTACTTCAAAATGCTGGCACAGGTAAGAGAAAGTTTGGAGCAAGCGGAATTTTATAATAACGCCAGATTCCGCAGGTACTCAACGGTTAATCCCAACTACGGCTTTGAGTTCTCTTGTAGTAATTTTCCGGGCTCGGAAGCCTCGAAATGTTCCTCATATTTTTCTTGCCAGTACCCTATAGTAACATTTTTTTATTGTGTTGGCACAGCCGGGTCGGAATATATCCTAGCCCTCCAGGCCTTTATACTTGTTTCAAACTTCCACTTCCATCTTTTCAGTGTCGGTAGCCGATGTACCCTCTAAACTTCCAAAGCCTGTTATAATGTCTTGCAATGCTCATGCCATCGAGTCCAAAGATCTCTCCGTCGAGCACTCAACCCTCACCACTCCAAAAGGATCCGTCAATGGCTCTTTGTGCCTTCACCTTTACGCGTAGGCTTCACACCTCATACTGCCAGTGGCGTACGAATTTAAAATATATCTCCGAGCAGTCAAGACCAAACAAGTCTGACTTGCATCTACGACGTCTCAAGGTCCTCCAAACTTCATGTCTCGGACGATGAGGGACTATGTAGCTAACCTCTCTAGTGTAAACAGGCGTGGTGAGAAATGAAGAACGAGCCCTGAGAGGAGAAAGAAGACCACGCAGGACTACTTGGACCTTACTTATGAGAAGGATCCTCACCTGAGAGTTGAGAGTGATCTGCAAAGGGATCATGTCATATTGGAGCCAAAGGAGGCACCCCGGCACACGTAAGGTTTTTGGTGCACTTGTAGCAGTTCCTTAACAATATCGAGATATGAAAATAGAATTTAGCATATTGTAAAAAATAAAAACACTTTATTAATTATTAGGATAAAGGGCGCTTTATGACACGAAGCTGACGGGGAAACATACCAAGTAGGAGGGTGTCACCAGTGGGGCTTTCACATTGTATACTATTTTTATGGTTACCATATCGCCAAATAGTGTAGGCTTGATTCTCCTCTCATTCAGCGAAATTATCAAGGTGTAATGCTAGTGACCATTAATTTTCAACATATAATTAATCTTAATATGTAATGTTTCTCCTTCAACAGTTTAGACCAATATCGTCCTTGAACTGTTCTTCGGCCACTTTGCGTCTAATATTTCCTTTGTTCTGAGACATGATATGAATTAGAACACCCAATAAATCAGTAACTATGGACTCACTACAGTGCGAGGTAATGCACCAATGACAACCACAAGAACATGTCACGTTCGTGAACATAGAGTCCCTTGTTGAACGCAGCCATCCTTGTTGCGATCCCAGCTTTCAATTCTGCCTTGTTTATTGAATCGGTTTCAGCTTCAACGATAAGGGCCGAAAGCAACGCCCAGTGTCTACTACAACGCATGCGATATCAATTCACGGCAAGTATCATTCACATGTCTTTTATCGATTTAGAGTGGTACGCAAGATATGTCGGGAAAGCCTGCGGAGTCCGATAAAACCACGAGTTCCAACATTGCCGGACCAGATGAAGCAGAGACATCTTCCACAGGAAAAAGGCTATACAGAAATTCCCCAGCATGTAAAGGTTTGTCCTTGCACATTTATGGTTCATTACCCTTAAAAGACTTCAAGCACGATAACCTGTAACACAACAGTCACACTCAGTCGTGTACAAATAGTATGCAAACATCTGAGGTGATGTGTACCTAGTTCAAAGACTAAATATGAAATATAGTCTTTTCACGAACAAATAAGTGGATCAAAAGTAAATGTGGTGTTGAAACCACTATATGAAACAAGGCTAGTGTGATGAGAAACTAAACAAAAGGAGTCATATGAATTTATATAACAATTGTGTTCATCAAAATCAATCAAAATCAAAAGACCAATAGACTGTGTCACACTTGAATTTCCAACACCTCAAGTTGAGTGCAATCCTAGTTCAGCAGCAAAATGCTTGACTTTCAGTGAAGGTAAAGCTTTGGTTAGGGTGTCAGCAACCATGTCAGCTGTGGGGCAATAGAAAAGGTGTAGTTGACCATTTTCAATGACCCAACAAATGAAGTGAAAATGGATGTCTATGTGTTTCGTGTAAGTGTGATATTGATGATCTTTTGCAAGTGCAATAGTGGATTAGTTGTCAGAGAAAAGAGCTGTTGGAGCAGAGATAGTGTGAAAAGCTGTCCAATAAGAGTACACAGCCACAATGCCTCTTTTGTAGCATGTGTTGCAGCTACATACCCACTCTCCATTGTTGAAAGTGAAACAATTCCTTGGCCCTTTGAGGACCATGATACAGCTCCACCATCAATGAGGAATGCATATCCTGAAATTGCTCGTCGATCCTCACCCATACACCCATCTGCATCTGCATGACCAGTTAGTACCTTCCCAGCTCCCCCATATGTCAACTTCAGATCCTTTGAGCCTAACAGATAGCAATAGGTATGTTGAATGGCATCCCAGTGCATTGGTCCAGGATTGCTCGGGAAATGTGAGACAGTGGTTACAGTGTAAGAGATGTCAGGATGTGTGCCAAGAGAGGCATACATCAGTGAGCCCACCACTTTGTGATAAGGGACATGACACATTATTGCATACTTTTTGCCAGTCAAAGGGGATTGCCTGGAATGAAGGTGAATGTTCGGCTCCATCAGAGTGGATACAGGCTTGAGTTCTGTGTGTTAGAAAGTAAGACCTAATAACAATATAACTCAGTTTCATATATCATATAACGGACTAGTATTTTATGTACCTAATAACAATATAACTAATGAGTGGCTATTAGTTACATTGTGTGTGAATACACAATGATCTTGACTCACCTCAGTCTCATATATCATATAACAGACTGAGGTGATACTACCATGGTCCTCTAGTTTATATATTTTACCATGTTACTAGGCACCATCAAAGGTGTGTTAGTGATACCATGTGCCCATGCCCAAGGATCAAAGTTAAGTGGTCTTGGGCCAGTTCATTTACTGTTACATAAGCATCCCCTGCAATGAACACTATGCCAGGCTATCTGACATAGGTTGCAGGCACTATATAAACACTTGACATGTCACATATATTCACCAACCCTGCCTTGGATGATCAATCCATGACAAGGTATGTGACAGTGGATTTCAATGGTGTTATTCAACACTCCTCCTCACTGTTGACACTCCTCCTTACCATAGAAACTCCTCTTTGCATAGCAGTCCTGTCATTGAGGATAAGAAGCTGTGAAGTTTAATGATTTTGGATGGTTTGAGAGCTTTGGTAAAGATATCAGCAAGGTTATTTGAGGTATTGATGTAACATAAGGAGAAATCTTGAGCAAGAATGTGTTCACACAGAAAATGATACTTAATATCAATATGCTTGACATGGGAATGTAATAGGGGATATTTGGACAGGTTGATAGTGGCATTGTTGTCACAAAAGACAGTAGTGGAGCAGGGCATGGAAAGAAAATGCCTGAAAGTAATGAATTAAGCCAAGTACCTTCTTTGATGACCTTGAAAGTGGTGACATATTTGGCCTCACATGATGAGGCAGCAACAGTTTTTTGTTTCTTTGTAGCCCACAAAATGACACCAGATCCTAAAGTGAAGGTGTAGCCACTAATGCTACAATGGGTATTGAGACAGTTGGCCCAGTCAGAGTCCATGTAGCCAGTGAGGTTGATGTTGTTTGGTCTTCCCAGACATAGTTGAAGATTTCTTGTCCCCTTTAAATAACATACAACATGAATAGCAGTGGCCCAATGTATGGTAGAGTAACTGTCCAGGTATTGTGATAATTGTTGGATGGCAAAAGAGATATCAGGGCATGTAGAAATCACCAGGTAGAGTAGACACCCAACTAAGGACCTATAGGGTAATTTGAGTAGGTCATCAGCATCAGATGGGGACAGAGATGTTCAATTAAACCAGCAAAGTTTAAGGCTATGGTCCATAATAGTAGATATGATAGTGGCAGTACTTTGACTGAATTGTCATATGACCTTGTCTATCAGTGTGGTTTGGGATAGGTAAATGGAGTGATTTGGCCTATCTAGCTCCATGGTGATGCCAATTGTTAAGAACAGAAACTGACTGATGTCGGTAGACTGACAGGGACTGAACAGAAGGACTTGGCTTCAGCTTATGTGCTGTGCCCTTGCAAGTTACCGTCGGGTGTCCTTAAATTTCAGGTGGGTGGAAACTAGTCCTGTCAAGTAAACCTCTCGGTAAACTACTGATTGGAAACCGAAGGAGAAGTCGAGGGTTGGGCTGAGAGTCCGAGACTGAGAGTCAGAGACTAAGTCGTAAATGTATGTAGGTTGAATCGTAAATCAGATGGAGTTGGAATGTGGTGGTGTGAATAGATAATGGAGTCAGAAATTAGAGGGGTATCTCAGTCGATATTCTGATTGTCTAGTAGTAACATTACAGCAGGTTTATATATGAGTTATCAGCATCTGGAAACTACTAACTAAGGGAAGAGTGGAAACACTATTTGACAAATAGACTTGACTAGAACCTGGAAAATTATGATAAGATCAGAAGCCGAGATTTAGCTGAGAGTGGGATTATGAGAAAAGGGAATAGTCCACAGGCTACAAGTATATACGGGCATATGTGAAACATAGAGTAAAACAGATAATCATAATGAAAGGGGATGTATCAAAGCATAACCAGATGGTACAAGTATATTTGACAGGGGTGTAAATGGGGTTTGATCGCTGTGAAGGTATACGTCAGTGTCGGTGTTCCGAAGGTTGCCAAAATGATGACTTGATCAATAACTTGGAACATCGATAGACTGTAGTATTCTCAGGGACCATCAGATTGCAACACAGTTATGACACGGTCGTAACACCAATGACAAAATGAACAGATCTGAGGTCAGATATAGTCCAAACACAACACATTTCATCCTTAAAAGCCTTATTCT